ACATACTGCTACTTGCCCTGAAAAAAACAAGAAACATACAGGCTGTAAACTGCAGCAAGACATTAATGTAACAGCTAAGTCCCTGGGAAGAATCATTCAAAAGGAAAAGCAGCTCTTTTCACAGCCCAGCATTTCATTAGGAAAAAAGAAGAAAGTTTTAAAGAGAGTCATGCATCTTCTAACCAGAAGCAACACCTTTGGGACATTCTGGTTAAGAAACCTCTGGCCTCTCTTCTTGCAGCATCTGAGAACGGCTGCTTCACTTCTTGCACAAGGAAGTGTTGAGTAGCAATTACTCATTTTAGTTCTTGTTTAACTTATTTAGAAGGCATAATTAGAAAAACTAATGGACAAGGAGGGGAATGAATCAAAAGTACAGAAAACAGACCAAACTAAGGTTAAAAGACTGAGAAAGAGGTAACAGGCAGGAAAACCCCACTTAATTTAAGTCAGGAAGACTTCAACTTGCAAGCAGTGCAGTGGCACATTTTTCATGCTGCCTCATAAAATTAATCATCAAACCTGTTTTAAAGGCCTCTGAATTTCACTTCAAGTTTCCATGAAGAAAACTACTTTCTAAAAGCTGAAGATGTTTATTGTGTGCTATGTCCCAACACTGACAGGAACAAGACTCATACCCAACAAAAGGGTTATGTCCAATTTCACTAAAAAAGGCTGGGCAAGTCAGATTACCATTTCATTCACACATACTTTGAAGTAAAACTCAAGTTTTGCCCATGCTTGCTTTGTACACCCCTCCTTCTGAGCTGCTCTCCCTCCAGCATACCTTTCTCAACATTATCATATGCTAAAGCAGCTCCTCCTTACTCTTTGTTGTCTCTTTGTCCCCACCAGTTTTCCTTTCCCAACTCATACCCTTTCTTTGCAGTCCACATAGGTGAACAGCCTGAAGAACAACCAACCTGTCCCATTTAGCAGCAAAACAGACCGCAGAAGACAAGGATTACACACGTGTATGAATATATATGCATATATAGTTATGCATGAAGTGTCACGATTTGCACGCTCGTGTGCCCACTCAGCACAAAGCAATGGCAGTGAGACTAGCCAAGGGTCAGCCATTCCACTTGTCTGATCTGAGTGTCCACATTAAGCTGCAAAGTGAAATTTAAGCAACATCCATCAGCTAGAGGAATGCAATCAGCAGACAAGAGGCACCAAACAGCACAGGAGACTGGTAATACGCTGGCACAGAAGAGAGCTTTTTGGGACAAAAGCTGGGAAGCAGCATAATAGGCTTTGCCTTAATTCTCGAAAACCCTTTAAACTCTTTTAGTACCACTAACATCTGCCAAGCTATACAAACTAATTGTTTCACATAGTACCTACTAACTCTACTGGAGTTTTAAAACACAGTGCTGGAAAGCTGCAGGTCTTTGCATCTGCTGCACAAAAAACCCCCCCCAACTCAATGACCACTACTCTGCAAAACCAAAGCTAAGCACACATTGTTGGATGGGAGAGGAAGATGAAAACACAAGGAGACCATGTGACCATACTGGTTAGCATGATGGGGACTCGTCAGCAGATCTAATTGTTGCCCAACTTTTGTAGGCATTAAGGCAAGGATAATAAGGAGTGGTTTGATGACAGATAATGAGACAGTTCAGTGTTTTGTATTTTTCAGAGTCAGGAGAAGCCAAGCATAAACAGGGAGGCCAACTGTCCATTTTAAATGAGGCAGAAGGATGATTAAGAGGTAAAGGACCTTTACTTGCAAAGGCAGGTTCAAAGAGACCTTTAGAAATGTTTTTTTTTTTTAAGCAAGTCTTACTCTGTTACGCTCAAATTCGTAGGCTTTTTTTTTTTTTAACCATCGCAAAGACTTCATGGTGGTGGAAAACAGAGTAAGAAAGAACTGCCCCCAAAAGAGACAAAGGCTGGTCGGCAAACCCCTTGGTTCTACTTGCAAGCAAGAAGATAGCTGACTTTTCAAGAGGTAGCAGAACCACTGTTTTGACCTTTCCAGCTCTGCTCTGGGGAGGATGGGAGCCCCAGGGAACGCCACCCTGCAATGAAAGTTGTGATGCTGCCTCGCTTCCTTAAAAATAAATACCACCATCCTGCTCTGTTAGTTCTTAGCTTCAACACTTTTGTCTGCACTCAAGAAGCATATGACAATATCCCCCAGTTTCATACCCCAAGAGCACAGGGGTTACGAACACCCCAAAGGACCACCACAGCATGTGTCTTACAACACACTGCAAAGTGAAGTCCTGTTGAAAATAGATACAAAGCAAAGGCTGGTTCTATACTCACAAGCAAACGCTGGATTTCTTTTTCACAATGGCATCATCTAGCTGAGGACAATCTTTCAAGTATTCATGTCTGCCCTGAAAGACAGACTGAGTATGTGCTAAGAAAGTTGGTTTTTTCCTCATAAGCATTCCTTAAAAATGAAGTAAAAAAAAATGTATCTTTCACCAGTGTCTCAGAAACATCTCTCAAACACAAAAATAATTTTGTTTATTCTGATTTCACCATTACATGTAGGCTGTCATCTTCATTCTTGATTTCTATCTTCAAGAGGTTTGTAAAACAATAAAACACCCTCAGGCTATGACTTTATACTTGAAGGTCAAAGTGCACAAAAGGCTTTTTATTAAAATTGTGCAATTAGTCAGTTGATTCATCTAAGTTGCATGTAAATGTGGCGCCACTTTCTAATAACTATACATCTGAGGGGAAAAACGAAAAACAAACTTACTGCTTTCCCCACTAGTCTGTCTACAGCACAGCTGAAGTAAGTTATGGAGACAGGTATAGTTTTGTGTTTGCACAACAAGAGCAGACTGGCAACAAGTATCTGGTACATTAACACACTCCTAAAAGCTGTGTTATGTAAAAAAAAAATAATTGCTTAATACAGTAGAATAAAGATAAGTTGCCACACATGAGTTTATTACCATTTACTAATATCAGAAGTTACCTGAATATTCACAGGCATTTCAAATACGGCTCTTACCTCCATTATCAGAATCATGGCTATAACCACACTTCTCTTACAATTCTGTCTCTTGCCACACTGGGCATGACAGAAGAAAGCTGCAAATCTCCTTAAACATTAATACACCACCATTTACCAAGCATAAATACTTTCTTCAAAACAGTCCCCAGTCCAAAGGAAAAACAAGGGTCCTGAGGTGCAGTCTCACCGTACAGCTAAGCTTACCAAGTGACGAGCTGTGGGTGCTGCAGGGGCCGGTTCTGCCTAACCTTTCCTCCACATACTCCTGTTACTTTCCTCACATTAAGCAGAACTTGTGAAACAGCGGAAGCGCTGCTGAGAAAATGAACCAGCCTAGAAAACTGCACGGGAAAAGAGCTTTCTGCTGGGTTAACTTCTTGAACTCGGGCAGCCAGGAACAACGCGAGGACAGCAGAATAAACACCATCCTGGAGCAAGGGGAGGGAAGCTGAACCAGCTCACTAGAAGATAAACTTTAGCTATCTTGTGAAATCTCACCCCGAGAACGCAAGGACAACTTAAACCTAACACCCTTTGAAAAATGAGTACCCCATCTTAAAGATTAATGAGAAAACCCTCAAGCTAAGTCTCAGAGCAACAGGGAGACTGCATTGTCTGTATTCCCAAACTTAAGAATGTTTGTGATGCTCTTCTGTCAGCGTAACTTCACTCGTACAATGAGTGAAGATGTAGGAACACAGAGACATCAGACAGGGGCAGATTGGTAAGTATATTTAAATTTGATGAGTTCACACCACTCTGGCTGCAAAACCCTGTGGTGTAGACATGCCAACAGCATCATTTTCTTCACTGGACAGATTTTCAGTAGCAAAGCCCCCACACACTCCTCTTGAAAGCAGCTCCTGTGCTCCGTTGCTTGCCTTGCCCTGTTTTGTGAAGTATGAGAGCAATTCCTTGAAAGAATTTAAGAGACAGGATCTCTCAAGGTGCCCAAGGCAAACAGCCTTTTCCTCTGGCAAAGAGCATTTGTGAAAGGCTACAGCTACTACCCAGATACAAGTTTTCTCACAAATGCCTTTACCATTCAGAAAGGAAACAAGAGTATACGATGGAGATGCAATGGCCAGGCCCCCCCCCAGTTCGCTTCCTACTCTGCTCTTCCAAATTCCCTGCAGTCATTTCACAGACACCTTCAAGTGACAAACGCTGGACCACACCAACACCATGATCAAGGATGGCTTCTAGCACAGCACATGCAAAGCTGCTCTCTGTCTCCAGGTAAAGCTGGGACCCTCGGGAAATCCTACTAATCAATCCAGGAGGGAGACTCGCAGAGCGCTGTCAGGCTGGGACACAATTCAGCTCGGGTCTGCACAGCAACACTCCTAAGACCTGGGGATAATGCTACAGTCCTCGGGCACAAAGCACCTGTAACAAAGTTCAAGACATGACCCGAGCACTCATTCTCATGCTTGATCGAAAGGCAGACTGACTGACTCGCGCCGGACTCCTGGAAGGCTCTGTGGTCACGCAAGGCTTGGTGGGTCTCTTTCCACAGGGGCAAGCCAGGACCACGGAGGGACCTGGATCGTGGTGAGAGGACCGCCACTGCTGAGCTCACCTTCAGTCCCTGCTCCCCTCCCAAAACCAGCTTCTGAGGCCAAGCTGGCACGACCTTGGCGTTTAGATATACACGTGCTTTAATGAGACCTCTCTCCAGAGAAAATAAACTCACGGGAACGAGCAAGTGCTGCCAGGCATCACCGCTCCCGGGAACGCACCTCCCGAGGAGCTGCTCAGGCGGGTTTACTGATGCCCGACGGAAGCACTGAAAGTTGTTTCAGCGTTTAAAAATGACAAGGTAATACCGGGGCAACCGCGCTGCGTAAGCGGCGAAGGCGAGCGAGCGTGTGTGTGGAAAACAAAGCCCCCCCGGGCAGCCTGAACTTTCCCCTCTCGCCGAGCAACCGCGGCCGGACCCGCTCCC